GCGGGAGGAGCGGCGTCCTGGGTCCCCTGGTCCCCCGCGGACCCCACCGTCCTCCGCCTCCGCGGGGTCGGCGGCTGCACGGTGACAGGGTCCCGGGCTCGCGAGCCCCCGGGAAGGGCATCCCCGAGGGGTCCCGGCTGCGGCTTGACAGGTGTCGGGCGGGTGGGGCGCCTGCTGCCGAGCGAAGTGACAGGTGCAGTCTCCTCCAGCGACGCCGAGGCGCGGAGGCGGCGGGTCGGGGCGAGCTCCCGGGAGACGCAAAAAATTGATTAAAATTTAGAAAAAAGCCACGACCGGTGTCTGTGGGGTTTCCCCCTCCTGTGGCGATCCGGAACACCCCTGGGGTGGCCGGACTTTCTCTTTTGCTATCTTGCGGTGCAACAGTTGGGAGCCTTTTCCTCTGGGCTGCTCGGTCCTGGGAGAGGCCGAGAAAAGCCTTCGGATGTAAAGCGCTGGGTCGTGGGTGTCAATTGCTCAGGGGGTACTGAGCTCCGGGGCTTTGTGGGGGGCTTCCTTAGAACAATGCTCCGAGGCCGCGGGGATTTAAAGCCATCTGTGGAAAGTGGTGGACCATAACTCTTTAGAGGAATTGGTATATGGGCAAAAGTTTCAGGAGACATTTAGCGCAAGGGCTTGAAAGTTTTTAAATTTACATCCCCCCCCGCCCCCATTGGATAAGACTCTTCTCAGGTGCTAATTGGGCTTAGCATGTCTCCTTTTTGATGCCTTTTGGTTTTTGCCCTTGAGTCAGCAAGCATCCTGGTGTCCCCCCCCCCCCCCCCCCGCTGTTTTGGTCTTGTTTTTGGTACTGTGTCCTCACAGGGAACTTTTCTCCCCACTTATGAGCTCTAAACTTAAGCAAGTCCATGTTGATCCGGTAGAAACGACAGAGGGATATTTACTGTATTTCAACATTTTATTTTTCTCGAGTGTGCTACTGTATGATTAAGTAACTGAAATTGAAACAGTGCGATTGTGATTATTGCCAGCCCTGGTTTTGTTGAGGCTACAGATACATTGCAGGAGAATGGGAATCATTTTGCCTCTCAGCCATTTCCCTCCCATTCTAGTCTATCACTAAGACCCCCCCATTTTCTTCCATTCTAGCCCATCACTAAACTCCCCACTTCTTTTCTTTCTTTCCTTTTGTTGGGGGGGGGTCTGGCTATGTAGCCCCAAACTGGCCTTGAATTCTCTATTCTGTCTCTGCTCCCAAGTGCCTGGATCCTAGGCTTACACCACCATGCCCAGCTTCCAAGCTCTTTATTCTCACTGAACAGTGCCTTTCTTTCTATGCTCTAGACTCTTGACAAACTTCAGGTCAGATTTTAAGAGACTGAAATAATTTTGGAAATGATCTGTTCAAGGCTATTTAAAACGAACATATTTAAATGGATAGGTCAAATAAAAATCTGATTCATTAGAAAATAAACTATATTTGGAGGCTGTTCTACAAGATTTCACTTTAGTTTCTAATTGAAGTTTGAATTTTCTAGGACTTGAAAGTTTCTTCTCAGAAAGAACAATAATGTCTATAGAATTCTGTCATCCACACAACTTTGGAAATATTCTGGATTATTGTAAAATAATCATACATGTTGTAATTCTGGCCATCACCTTGAAAAAGAAGGACCCAGTTTCTTTCATACACACACACACACACACACACACACACACACACACACAATTCAGGGACCTACCAAAAATTCTGTGTAAATTATAACCATAAACAAGATACAGTCTATTCTTGGTTACTCTTCACTACAAAAGTTCTCATAAGCACTTACAGTTGATCTCTGTGAATAAATTACAGTCACGCACTTAACCATGGGGATATGCTCCCTTCTGTGAGCTGTGCTGTTAGATGAATTCTGTATGACCATTATAGAATACACTTAAGCAAACCTGGATGACATAGATCATTTATTCATGGTGCTTCATGGTGGTAACCCCTGGATATATGAGCTGCTGCCAGAATAACAAAGCATACTGCTTTGTAGAGTAGACTTTGTTTCTCAATACTAGAAGTGTGCTCTAAAATAATGATACAGCTATAGTAAGTACACAAACCAATGACATAATCATTTATGTTCAGGCCTTATGTCCTGAATGGGGTTGTATTTGCTACACTTCCTAGAACTGGCAGTGCAGTACATTTGTTTCTACCAGTATCCCACTCCCAACACAAAGTAGTGAATGCATTGTGCTGCAGCATTATGCTGGTTTAGATGATCACCAGTGACAGCTCCACTACAGTCTTATAGGACTGGTATTGCATAGTCTGTTGTTGACTGAAATGTCATTATGTGGAACATGGCTATGCTTATTGAGCACAGGACCAGTGCCTTATAGTCTGAAGCTGAGAAACTTGCTTAGGGATGGATTCAGCCCAGACCATCTATTCTTCCAGTGACTTTGAGAGTTGAGATGTTATTTCTTTTACATTGTCTCTGCTCTCAGTAATATAGGTGGAACTGACACTCTGACTAGCATGCCGCTTTCATTATTAAAGTAACCAGAAGTTAGTTATGCTTTGAAAGGAGAGTTGCCACTAACAAGAGTGGTCAGGGCCATGGATTATAGAGTTAGATCACAGAGTTCATATCCTGATTACATCTCACTTGCTATAGTTTTAGTGAATGCTTTATTTCTGTGATTTGGTGGACACCTGTAAACCATGGATGAGAGAACTTACTGAGTAAGGCAGATGTGGGGATTCAGTAAAACCATGCATCTGAAGTACTTATAGTAAATAGTCAAAAACCAAGTTACTCCTCACAGCGTTATTACATGTCAAATACATATTTGGATGGTTGAAAAGGAATGTGTATGGTTAAGAAAGTTCAGAGATAGAGCTGAAATGCATGATGCGATAATTTCTGCCGAGTTAATCATCTAAGAAATGCTAATGGGTAGAGTGACTATGAAACATTAATAAGTGTCAACTACAGTATGCAGGGTCACAGGCATTGACTTGATTGTGTGATAGGTTTTTTCCTTCTTGCTGTTGCAATTATCCCATTTCCCAAATGGTTGCAGCTATTGCCCCTACTTTCTTTCACAGAGCTGTTTTGCTGCTCTGGAGTGTATTTGGTTTGCCATGCTCAGTGACTATTTTTCATTTTGTGGTATCCTTATTTTGGAAAGACCACAAAAAGATAACCATATGTTTAAATTGTGTGTAATTTTTTTCAAAGATAAAATAAGACCTTAAAGTTCTTAGATATGTTCTCTTTCAAAATAGTGCCAATATGTGCAAACTATTGAAACAAACATTTCTTTTAATCAGTTCGATTTTAAGTGTATCTTCTTTGTAATTATTTTCATTTGGCAGGCTTGAGTTTGAAGAAACCGAAGAACCTGAATTTACTGCATTATGTCAGAAATTAAAGATACCAGATCATGTCAGAGAAAGAGCTTGGTTAACTTGGGAAAAAGTTTCATCTGTGGATGGAGTATTGGTAAGGATTTTCTTAAAGTTTTTTGAATTTTTTTAAGTAAAAGCTAGTGATAATTGTACTACACAGAAAGAACCTCTGAAGAACACTAAAAACATCTCTTTAAAATTTTTTAAATTAGATTTTTGAGAATTTCACACAGTGTAATTTGATCACATTCGGATCCCCTCCCCTATCTGCACTCCTCTTATTATTCCCCACCTAATTTCATGTCTTATGTTATCATTATTATTATTATTAATTATCATTTAAGGCCTATTGAGTCTAACTTATGTCCCCAAATGACCTTTGGTGTGAGCATTCCTGGGAGCCTAGTCAACCTACCTACCATCACACCCATAAAATCTTTTTAATGTTTTGTTAGGTTTTAAAATTTTTATTTTAAAATTTAAAATGTTTTATTATTGTTAGTGTGTGTACATGTACCCGTGTGTGTGTGCACGCGCATGGGCACAAAATTGTACACATGCCACAGCATGCCTGTGGAGGTGAGAGAACGTCTTTATGGAGTTCGTTTTCTCCTTCCACTTTTATGTGAGTTCTGGGCATCAAACTCAGGTCACGAGGATTGCCAGGCAAGTGCCTTTACCCACTGAGCCATCTCTCCAGTCCTATTTTTAAGTTAGCATGCAAATAATGACTTTCATTATGTCTTTCCCCTCTGCTCTTACTTATTCCCTCATTCACCCCTCCTCCCCACACTCCCTGTCCCCTAGCTGATCCCCTCCTACTCACAGTCAGCCTGCCCTGCTCTCGTGTCATGTGTGTTCCATTCCTCCCTCTCTGTCTTTTCTTACACCTTCCTTTAAGCTCTTTTCCTCCTTTCTCACCCTCTTCCAACTTTTACTACCCTCCCCCCCCACACGTTATAGAGTCTGCATGAGAGAACATACTTGTCTTTCTGAGTCTGGATTAGGACCCCCAGTTGCATTCATTTTTTTTATAGATAATCATGACTATTTTTCTTTATGTTGGAATAAAATTTAATAGTATATATGGACATTTTCTTTTTTTTTGGTCTTTTAGAGACAGAGTCTCCCTGTAGCTCCAGCTGTCCTAGAACTCACTATGTAGACCAGGCTGGCCTTGAACTCACAGAGGTCCTCCTGCCTCTGCCTCCTGAGTGTTGAGACTAAAGGCGTGCGCCACCACGCCCTGCTGGACATTTTCTTTATCCATGCATTTGTTGACTGACATCTATGTTGGTTCTGTTTTTTTAGCTGTCATGAATACTATAATAACGAATATGAATGTGCAAAAATCTCTTTGGTATTTTGACTTAGAGTCCTTTGGCTATATATCCAATAGTGGCATGGTAGTTTTTTTTTTCCATTTTTATTAATTCTTTGAGAATTTCATACAATGTAGTTTAATCATACTCATTCCCACCACTCCTCCTAATTTCTCCCAGATATACCCCCCACTTTGCTACCTACCCCCAAATTCACGTCCTCTTTTTTTTCAAATTTTTGTTATTTTGAGAATTCCGTACAAGTATTTATATCATTTCCACCCATCCATCTCCCTCCTCCAACTACTTCAGTGTCCTCCCAACTCCCTCTCAAATTAATGAGCTTTTCTTTCATTATTGTTGCATATTTATATATACATGTGTATGTGTATATATATACACACACACACACACACACATACATACAACCTGTTGAGTCCATTTAGTGTTGCTTGTGTGTACATGTTTATGACTGATGGCTTGGGGTTGGATAATGCATCAGGGAGTTTATCCCTGGAAAAACTGATTCTCCCTCTCTTAGCAGCATTGGCTGCCTATAGCTCTTCATTTCAGGGTAGGACCTTGTAGAAATTTTCCCTATCCAGGTTGGCATGTCAGCTGGTGCCATTACATGGGTCTTGTGTAGGCAGCCATTTTGTTGAGATTTCATGGGTACAGCTTCCCAGTCCTGTCTAGATGACACTGTCTAGCAGCAGGCATCCTGGTCCTTGGCTCTTACGATCTTCCTGCCCTCTCTTCAGATATTTTTCCATGAGTCTTAGGTGTAGGGGTTGCATTGTAGGTATATCACCTGGGACTGGGCACCCCATAGTCACTTATTCTCTGTATTTAGACCAGTTTGTGGATCTCTGTAATAGTCTCCATCTGTTGCAAAAAGAAGCTTCAATGGGATGAAAGCTACAGTTATCTATGGCTATAAAGATAAGTATTTAGAATATAATTAGAAATTATATTGGTTTAGGAAAATGGCAGTAAGTAGTAAGTTCTCTTCTAGGGTCTATGACAGCTCCAACTATGAGTGTTTGACTAGATTTACTAGGCATGAATTCCTTCCTATTGACTGGGCCTTAAGTCCAATTAAACAGCTGTTGTTACCCCCAAGATAAAAGCACCATTATTACATGAGTGATGATATTTTGCCAGCTGGTCATTGTTATGGTTTATAGACTTTACAGCTGGGTAGGACTGTTGATTGCTTTTCTCCCTTGACAACTTGCATAGCACCTTCTGATACTATGAGAGTCAATCCTCAGGGAGGAGGCTTTCTGGTCCATTTCAGCTTGATACCTCCAAGTCCTGTGTCTGAAATGTGTGGTGTTTTCAACAACACGGTCTTACTTTCAATTTCTGGGAGGCAACCAGGGGCTGTGGCAATATCCATTGGCCTCTTTAAGAAAATTTTTTTTAAATAAATAGAATATTTTAAAAAAATTTAATAACCAATTAAGTCCAATTTGTGCTGCTCATGTACTTCTGGGTCTGGGGCCTTCCACTGGAACATGGTGACCAGGCCACACCCTTAAAGAAAATGGACTCTCCTTCTCCCAGCAGGTATCAGTTGTGGTATGGTAGTTTTAAGGAACCTCTACACTGACTTCCATAGTGATTGCACTACTCTACATTTCCACTGGCCGTAGGTAAAGGTTCTTTCCCCATATCCTTGCTAACGTTTGTTGTTGTTTATTTTCTTTTTTTTTTTTAATTTAAAGATTTTATTTTTACTTTATATGTATATGAGTGTTTTGCCTACATGTATGTAAGTGTACCATGTGCATGTTTGGTGTCTACAGAGAGTAGAAGAGGGTGATGGACTGCCTAGAAGTTAAGGACAGATTTTAGCCACCATGTGGGTGTTGAGAACCTAACCCTGGTCCACCTAAGGGCAGTAAGTGCTCTTAACCAATGAGCCATCTCTCCAGCCCCTATTGTTTATTTTCTTGATGTTAGTCATTCTTATTGGGGTGAGATGGAAGCTCAAAGCAATTTTAAGTTGCATGTCCTTGATAACTTAGAACATTGAATACTTTTTTCAACTATTTAGTGGCCATATGTATATTTTAATTTGAGTCTTGTATGTTCAGTTCATTGGCCTATTTATCGAGTGAGCGAATGTTTTAGTAATACTTAATTTTTGAAGTTCTTGGGCTGGAGAGATGGCTCAGTGGTTAAGTGCACTGAACAGAGGACCCAGGTTCGATTTCCAGCACCCACATGGCAGCTAAGGGTCATCTATAACTCTAGTTTCAGGGGATCCGAGGCCTTCTTCTGACCTCCGTGGGGATTGCATGAGAGAGGTGCGCTTTCATACGTGCAGACGATACATTCATAAACAAAGATAGTAAATATTTTTAATTTTTGAAGTTCTTAAATTTTAGATATTAATCCTATCTGACACATAGTTGACAGATTGTTTTCTTTGCTGGTAGATGGTCTCTTCAACTCCTGGTTGTTTCTTTTGTTTTGCAAAACTTTTTAGTTTGATGTAATCCCACCTGCCAACTCTTGGGGTTATTTCCTGTGCTATGGAGTCCTCTTCAGAAAGACGCTATCCCCTTAGTTTCAGGATTTCATATCTTACATTTAAGTCTTTGATACATTTTGGTGTTTGTTTGTTTGTTTGTTTTTATTTGTTTTTTCCATTTGAGACAGGGTCCTGCTGTGTAACCCTGGTGATCTGAAACTTGCTTATAGAGCGTTCAGCTGGCTTTGAACTCACAGAAATCCTGCCCTTGCCTCCCAAGTGCTGTGATTAAAGGTGTGTGCCACCATGCCTGGCCCTATATTGATTTTTTTGTTAAATTTTATTTATTTAGTGTGTATATGCATACGTACCAGAGTGTGGCTTAGGGTATATAGGAGGTCAGAGGACAACTTTTGGGAGTCAGTTCTTTTCCTCTACCATGTGAGTCCCTGGGATCCAGCTCAGATCATCAAGCTTGGCAAGAAATGCCTTTATCTGTTGAGCTATCGCACTAGCCTTGTATTGATTAAGTAAAAGATATGGATTGTGTTATATACATTCTTCTGCAGGTGGATACCCAGTTTTCCCAGCACCATTTGAAGAGGCTTTATACAGTGTCAAAAATCAAGTGGATGGGGATGGAGAAATAGCTTGGTGGTTAGGAGCATTTGCTACTCTTTTTAAAAATATATTTCATTTGGCCAGGCGTGGTGGCGCATGCCTTTAATCCCAGCACTCGGGAGGCAGAGGCAGGCGGGCATAGGAGTAGATGAGATCACTAAGGCTATTTGTGCAAATAAAAAAAAAACAGAAGATGGGATTAGAGAAATGGTTTAGTGGTTAGAGTACGCATTGCTCTTCTAGAGGGCTCAAAATTGTTTCCCAGTACAAACATCTGCTGGTGGCCAACCACCTGTCACTCCAGCTCCAGGTGTTCCAAACCCTCTTCTGGCTTCTTTACATACCTGAACACATATGGCATGCAACCACACACACACACAGACACACACACAGACACACACACACAGACCCCCCCCCCAAAAAAAATATATATATATATATTTCATTTGTTTTTTTTGGTTGTATAGTTTGAAATCAGCTATTACGATATCTGTTTAGGATTGCTTTGGTTCCTCAGGGTCTTTTGTACTTCCATGTTGTTCTAGTTCCCTTTCTGCTGCTGTGATAAAATATCTATAACAAAAGAAACTTGGGAGAGAAAGGGGTTATTTTAACTCACAAATTCCAGGTTATAGTCCTTCATACCAGGGAAGTCAGCTAGGCAGGAGC